ATATATACTTTGGTAAAAGAAAAATAGTTTTATTCCTACTTCTAGAAAGCCAAATGAGTACAAAGAATAAAATTATAATGCTGGAAATACAGACTTTAAAGTCTTCTCACAAGCCAGATACAAATATTTATAATACAGATAAACAAAAGATGTTCTATTCTTTAATACAATGATGTTTACTTGCTAATATAAATATGCTTAATAGAATACATTCTACTTACTACAACCCCATAAATGTGTTGTTCATGATAGGTCAGACTCAGGTGGTATGATAAACAAGATAGATACAGAAAGAACAAAGAAGGGCTATGAAATTAATAAAAATGGGAAGAATCTAAGTAATGATAATAAATGGAAAAGTTCAAGGCTATACAGTTTGGAGAAGAGAAGGCTACTATAGTCAGGGAAGAAAAGTCAGGGATCATCTTGCGTTGTATAAATACCTAAAATGGAATCACAAAGATTTGGGTAAGGATTTATTTGCTAATAATCAACAGGAACATTGCTGGAAATTTACAAAAAAAAAATGTTATTTTAGGCAGGCTTTTAAAATTGGTAATGATTTGGAAATTTTTGTTCCTAGAACCGTTAGGAATTTGTTGGACAATGAATTGGATACAACTGTAATCTAAGTATATAAATTCATTCAATGCCAAACAATGGTTCTTATTCACATGCATTTCTTATCGAGTTGAGGCTCTTGACTATGGTGAAGGTTCTTAGGGGAGCTCTGCTTTCCCTTAGGGGATTTAGCAAAGAATTTACATTAGGATTCAACCAGTCAATGTCACCAAATCCATTTTATGTCGCTAACATTTTTAGTACACCTTGATATTCTTGATAAAATTTACTGATTTTTATATATCAAATTTCAGTGTTCAAACTATCATTTGCTTTTGCTCCCCAAGTATCTTTTCTGTAATCTGACTTCACTCTGAGAGTAAACAGCACTGTGTTTGTGTTTTGAGCAAACTCAAAACAAAAACCAGTATTGTTCTCTAAAATGACCACTAAAAACGTACACAAGAACTACAGACAAACTCTGAAAAGTCGTAACATAAAGGATAACCTTTTTAAAGATTAAGATAATTTTAAATGATTAGGGTATTTTAATTTTTAAGATCAAATAAGCAGAAAAAATGAAGATATAGAAAACAGAAAGAAAAAGATGAGGTATCACAAAAATATATAAGGACAATACCTGTTGTATTAATCATACTTTTTGGTGTAGCTCCAGTAGCAGCAAATATATTAGAGGTACTGCCTGTTGGCAGACCACTTCCAGCAGTAGTGGCTCCCACAGTAGTTACAGCTAAACTACCTGGAGGTGGCTTCTTTACAGGCACCACAACACTCCTGTACAGAAAGGAAGGATAGAAAACAAAAAATGTAACGTTTAAGATGAATTCTAAACCTGCTATGGCAGATACACACAATCACCATCAAATTTTCCTCTTTCTTTCCTTCTTTCCTTCATTCTTTCTTTTGCTTGTTTTAAACTCCCAAGTCCAACTTCATTAAAAAGGATATGGACATTAAGGATACATTGTAAAGTATGTTGACTACTATAATTCATTTGGCAAACATTTAAGTAGAATCTGGAGTTTGCAAACCTCTCTTGGATAGCATATGGACTATAATCATCAATCTGGGAATATTGGGAAAAGTGTGCTAAAGTTAGCAGATTCTGCACATGCATATAGAATTTTGGGGAAAAATTTACATAAAATGCCCATCTTATCCATATCACATTCACCACGTGTAAAATATTCATAAGTATGTATAAACATAAAAACATTTGAAAGGCAAATTTTAAACTTCTTCATAGTAAAGCTAAAAACTAAACCAAAGAATAATAAGTAACATTTAAGGGCATAATGAAGTTATACTTTATTTTTCTGAACAAAGTGGAGCTGCTTTTCATAGTAGGAATATTATTATAATGAAAGAGAACAGAAATGATAGAGAGACATTTGGTTAGAGAGCTATTTAGCTTTGGAGCCTTGGTTTTTTGAAGAAAGGAGTTCAATATCCTCCCATGTTTCTTTAGCATATTTTAAATAAATCTCATTGAGAAAATTTCTGAACTTGATACCGTGTTAAGCTTAAATGATAAATAAATGTAAATATTGGTCAATTTAAAAATATGAATAAAGAAATTATTTCTCTAACATAATAAATGGCTCTACTTTCTTACAGCAAAGCTTTATTTTTCTCAAAGTTTACAGCACTACAAATCATTAAACGAACATTTTCCAAGTGTTATGCAATCATCACTGAATTTATTTATCTAGAAAATAGATGTATGAGATATTTTAAGCTCAAATGTAATGCTTAAAAACCAGTGATTGACAGTACGAAAATATCCAACCTAAACTATCTTTTTAATGCATCTATATTTTATAATTATTTCATGAAAAAGCTCTAGTTAAAAGGGAATTACATCAATGGACCATTTTAAAATAAGTCTATGGCTTACATTTCTTTAATACCAATATTCTTTTTCAAAGAAACAATTCTATTAATATCTTCAATCACTTCTTTAATGTTAACAATCTAAATTAGTATTTAGATTATTATTTTTAATTATAGGAGTACTTAAAATATTTTTAGTGACCAAAATATAATCTTAAATAATTTTACTCATGCCAAAAAATTTCTTCATTATCTTTCTAGATATCGTCTATTTTCTTTATGAATGCTAGAGTCAAACTCTTTAGACTCAACCTTTAACTCTCAACTATCTATTTAATTACTTAAAGTACACATTATGCTTTCAATCCCTATATTGGCCAGTCCTCATCTAATGCCTTCATTTATTTCATTGAGAGGTAGTGTGGCACCGCAAAAGAATACAGAATATGGAGTCAGAAGAGTAAGGCTTGAAAACTGGAAACTCTCAAGCTGTGATTTTAATTTCAGTTTCTCAGTATTAAAATGGCAAGAATAAAAAAAAAAATGGCAAGACTGATGCTACCTACTTCACAAATAACTGGGGAGATTAAATGAGATTGTATTTAAAAGGACTATTAATAATTACTACTGTCTAAACTGAATTACTACAGGATATAAGGTATCTACTTATAATGATCTACATAAAGATCAACAGAATAAAAAAAAAAGATGCTGGCCAGGAGCGGTGGCTCACGACTGTAATCCCAGCATTTCGGGAGGCCAAGGTGGGAGGATCACTTAAGGCCAAGAGCTGGAGAACAGCCTGGGCAACAAAGTGAGATACTGTCTCTACAAGAAATTAAAAAATAAATAAATAAATAACTGGACTGGTGGTGCAGGCCTGTATTCCCAGTACTCAGAAAACTGGGGAGGGAGAATGGCTTGAGTCCATGAGTTTGAGGCTGCAGTGAGCTATGATCACACCATTGTACTCCAGCCTGGGTGACAGAGCAAGAAACACCCCCTCCTTGCTGCCCCCATCTCTTTAAAAAAAAGAGGATGCTAATATTTGGGTTTTTTCATCAAAATTCTTCTCTAAATTTTTAAACAAATATGAAATATACTATTTCATTGGCTATCTGGTAAAAAAAAATTACCAATTCTTGATTTGAAAAGAAGTCACTAGTGAAACTACAAAACTTTTTCTCTGCATCTCTCATAAAAATTCTCATGGATAAAATAAAGAAACATGAGCTAATTGATAGTGCTGTGAAATGAATTTGTCGATGGCAGAAAAATTATTATCAAAAATTTCAGACCTATTGATTAATACTAACTTTGGGCAAAAGCTCTCTGTGATGACTACCACTGGTAACTTTTTGCATGTAGAGGTTATGAGAAATTAGTTATGAAAAATAAGTTATGTGAATGAGAAAAAAATTTAAATCTCAAAATCCTGTAATGATGGTTTATAAGTCAAATGCAAAAACAATAAATGCTGGCTTACTAAAAAAACTGAAAGCATTGAATGACTAGCAATTGATATGAGAGCCTCCAGACATTTCATAGTGCAGAGTTTGATGGTATGACATGGTATATAAATAAAGTAGCATAGTGGGTAAAAGCTCAGTTTTTAGTGTCACACAGATCTGGGTTAGAATTCTACCTCCAACAGTTATTAGCTATGTGGTACTGGGCACATAAATTTCTCTATGCTCCATTCTCTTCCACATTAAAATGAGATTTATAATGGTCTACACCATTATACACGTAAGATTGTTATAAGATAAAATGTTGTTATGAGATAAAATGTTCTAAGATCATTATAAAGAGAAGATTGCTATAAAGATAGAATTCTGGAGAGAACATATAAAGTATTTAGCACATTATCTGGAATATTGTACATAGTCAATACATTTTAGCTATTATTAGTATTGCTATATTTCTCCAAAGTGCTGGTAAGTCCAGTTGAAAGAAGCAACAATCCTCGTATATTCTGCCATTGTTATACCTCATAAATAGAATCCAATGTGCAGTTTTAGGTACCATATTTCAAGAATCGACCAACATCATTTCCATAAGAGAACAGTTAAGATGACAGTAGATCTGTAAAATAAGCCGTGTGAGGAAAGGCTGAAAGAGCTAGAACATTTTAATGAAAGAGAGAAGAAATTACAGCAATTTTTAAAAGTCTCAAGATATGTGATAAGAAAACAAAATAAAACTTCCACATATCTCAAAATGCCATATTAGGACCCACAAGAAGAAGAAATCCCTAGTAATTTTTATGTGTTCCAGTTTCCAATCCCTGATGTGTTCAAATAGCTAGGATGATCATTTGACACAGGTTGTGTTGAGAGAAGTAGGAAGCTGGATTTGACTGATTTCTCAGATGTTTTTCTAAGAACTATTTGTTATTAATATAGCCAAATTATTTATTTAGAATCAGAGGACTGTACATTCCTGTCCTTACTGTCATTTCTTCATCAACATTTCCCATTTGCTTACATCTCAAACCATTCTGTCCTAAGCAATCTATTTCACAAATAATCTGAAAGTTCACAATTATTAATATGTGCTGATAAGAAATTAATTACCTGTTAGGATGTTATTTAGTATCTGCAACTACTTATATAGCAAAGTAAAAATTTTCAACTCTTACAAAATCTTCTATTATTACCCAAAATTTCCCACTAATTAACTATTCCATCTACACTCAAAGAGTCTTACCTAGGAGTCTGAGTACCTACTACGGGTATCCATTTAGGGTGGATAAATACACTAAAATATATACAAATTTGAGGAGTACATACATTTTTTTCCTAGGGTAAGCATTTAATTTTTATCTGAACTTCAAAAACATATATAGCCATGAAAAAGTTAAGAGCCACTGATCTAAGATAAAGTATTCATGTCTTACACTCTTCTTCTTGTAGATCGGCTTATTCATACTGACAGAGCTACCTAGAATCCTCTACTCTACACACCTTTATCAATGTCACTTTTTTAAATCTTAAAAATATTTTTCATCCTTTCCACACAATTTCAAATTTCTATCCAACACTGTTAAGCCTATAAACTATAAAGAAGTAGATAATTCCTCTATACTACACATAATCTATACATACTCCAAGGTTATAAAGGTTATCATCAAAAAAAGTACAAAGCTAGGAAATAATTCAGTCTAATTCACTTAACAAAATTTTTTCACTGAGTGATTGATTACATGTTTTTAATACCTAATACATGTAAGTGTGAATTCTTCCATCAATGAATTTATTCTACCTCAAAGCCAGAGATTTGGGGTATGATCTAAGATTCATTCATTCACTCATTTATTCACTTAACGAATATTTATTGAGCCATGCAATGTGTGTGGGACTGCTTTAAGTTCTAGAGACAGAGCAATACATAGAACAAAATCCTTGCCCTCATGGAACTTACATTCCAGTAAGGAGAGACAGAAAGTACAATAATATAAATGCGTAAATACAGTACATCAGCTTATAAGTGCTATGAGAAAATAAAGCATAAATAGGAATAAGGAATATTGTTGAAAGGGTGGCTCAGAGTAGAATGCCCCAAAAAGGTGGTATTTGAGAAAACACTGGGCCAGGTGTGGTGCCTCCAGCCTGTAATCCTAGCACTCTTGGAGGCTGAGGCAGGAGGATTGCTCGAGCTCAGGCGTTCGAGACCAGCCTGAGCAAATAAGAAACCCTGTCTCTACTAAAAACAGAAAAAATCAGCCAGGTGCGGCAATGTGCACCTATAGTCCCAGCTACTCCTGAGGCAGAGGCAGGAGGATCGCCTGAGCCCAAGAATTTGAGGTTGCAGTGAGCTATGATGATGCCACTGCACTCTAGCCAGGGCAATAGAGTGAGACTCTGTCTCCAAAAAAAAAAAAAAAATAGAAAACACTGAAGCGGGTGAAGGAACAAGCCACAAGTCTATCTAGGGAAGAG